GATTGATTCGTAAACGGTGGTTGGGTCATATGAAAAGTCGAAATCGAGAACGGCTGTAGAGCTAGGCTGGGATATGTACAATAGGCAGTTCTACTTCTTCAAGTGTACTTACGAGAGCTGCGATCCAACATGGCATGAACAAAAAGCTGAGGAAAACGTAGCGTACTTCAAAATGGTCCACGATGCCGAATGCAAAAAAGATAACTGCCATCGCTAGTTGAATAATCGAAATGATTTTCAATTCTCGCCGGCTAAACGCCATTTCGAGTGGAATATTTCCGCGACGTTTAATCTAAAATATTTACATGATAAATTTTAAAACCGACGGAACACATTAACTCGTTCCCAGACTCATTCCACTTTCTTCGCTTGTCAGGGCCAATCTGGTTTCTGGATAAATGTGATAATTTAAATACCGTAACAGCGAGCTGGCAAAAAGTCATCCAGAAGCAATCGCTCGTGTGAATAAACTTCAACAAGTATGATATTGTACGGCTTCCCTCCCTTTTTTTCTTAATACGTGACGGCTTTTTGATCTGTCAATTTTAAGGTGAAATAGCTCTTATCGGAGATGTACACGCCACTCCGACAATGCAGCGGTATTCCGATGACTGAAGGATCAAATCGAGGCTATCGGGTCGAGCTTCAGAGTGAATCGTAACGAAATTTGCTATAAATCTTGGAGGTTTATAACGTTTTCGTTTATATCTTCATCACTTAAAGTATTTTCTTGCTTTTCCAACCATGGTTAAACATTGTATAGCTTTTGGATGTACGAACAGGAGTTCAAAACATGAATGCAAGGAATTATCTTGGCATTCGCTACCTTTGTTAGACAAGAGGTCGCTTGCTGAATGGCTCGCCAAGATCCGCAGAGAGAACTGTCCAGTAACCAAAAATTCTTACGTTTGTAGCCAGCATTTTTAGCCAGCCTGCTTTATTAGGCCACTTGGTGGACAGAGAATTCGTCTGAAGCCGGGATCTGTGCCATCAAGGTTCACGGATTTTCAGTTAAAAATCAGAGAGAAAGAAGCCTTGTTACCGAGGAAAGCAAACGGCAACTACTGTAAAATTAAAAACAAACAGGACTGCGACGACTGCAGCAAAATCCGCTCTCGAAGTTTTTGACTCGATCCTGCAAACTGAATGAAGCTAGACCTGTTGTAGAGAGTGGGAAGACTGAAAATGTTTTTGTAAGCGGAGAATCTGCGGAAAATGAAAATGACAAGCTTGCACGAGAACTTAGGTCAAAGGAGGAGAAACTCTCAAACGCAATGAAGGAATGGCAAGAAAAAGAGTTAGAACTGACAAATAAAATCAAGGAGCTAGAGAGACAGCTGGAGTTGGAGAGAAATGTAAGGAAGGAGCTGGAAATGCTAAATTGTCAAAATTGAAATAAACTATTTCTCCTTCTCTATCACTGTTTTTAACCAATGATAGTCCTAACTTATATGTTAAAGTTTTTTCATATCTGGTAAGCAATCGCATGTGAAGTGTACTTTGTCGCTATCACAGGCAAGTTCAATTCTTCGGATGTGCCCATGCCGAAACAGGCCAAATGCTTTGCTGCTAATGTTCTTATAATCTTTGTTGGCCTCGTTATCTTTGGTTTTTCTTTCGATGAAGTACGATTTCATATTCTGCATATTAAAAGCAGGTACACTGTCTTTGGCATCGGGTAGAGGGAGCCATTCTGCTGAACCAGGAAAGTCAGATGGAGTATACGGAGTATTTATGTCTTGGTGCGGTTGGCTCGACGACATGTCATGCCACGCGTCTACGAAATCGTCTTCCCAGCTGTTTTTGATGTAGCTGACAACTCTGTATAGGAACGACAAAAATATTAGAAATGTTTGGCTCTTAAATCGTAGAAAGATAACGAATAGATGATTATTAAAGACTACAAATTTGTGATATACCTTTGAGCGAGCTCGGCCTTTTGTAGCGTCGGCTCTTGCACTTCCATCTTTGCTCGTTCCCCTACGATAGGAAAGCCACTCTTTGAGCCTCTTTTTTGTTAAAAGTTGAGGAAATTTACCACTGAGTAATTGAACTTTCTCTTCCGCTGAGAAAAACGCGGATTCGGGCAGTTTTTTGTCTTATTTTCAAAGTTCATAGTTGTCTCTCTTGTAATGCTTTGAAAAGTTAGGAAAGCTAGACCCCATAGCCTCGTTTTACTCCTACTCTCATCGAGATACCGCTGGATTAGCGAAATGGCGTGTACATCTCCTATAAGAGCTATTGGTTGATATTAGCGATTACAAGAGGCCTTCTGCTTGACGGGGATACATACATGTTAGTCAGGAGAAGGATTTTCATGAGGGCCCTGCAAGCGTTTATGGTTTTAATTTAAGGTATTTCATTCGAGAAGGGGCTGGG